GCAATTGGACAATTCAATTGCATTTGGCATGCCAATTTTGTCTCAAACTTGCCCCCCCCCCCTCCAGGTGCGTGTTTGCCTTTTGTTCTTTTTCGGCAACCATCTCAACAGGGGTTCCAGACTTGCCCAATTTGAGTGTTTCCCAAAGTTTGGGCCTCTTTGGGATTTCTATAGATGGAGCACCGACACCAAAACACTCGATTTTGGGGGAGGTCTACTTTAAGAGACACTTGTATCGGCTATGAACCTTCACAACAAACCCCCCCCCCCCAAAACTAAACGTGGTTGGTGGGCAGAAATCCCCATGCACATGATTTGTTTGATGTCCCCGAAAGTTCCCACCGGTTTGTCTCAAAATGGGGCAGACCACACAATGGTGTTGTCCCTTTGGTTTACCTTTCAACCAACACGGAGGCTGTTGGGAAACTGACATCTTCGGCTTGGGAAAGTCTGGGTATGCGTCAATAGGGATCTGGATCCCCCAAAATGGTGGGTGTCTTTCGTTGTCTCTTCAAGCCAACCTGAAAAGGGTAGCCTCAAACACAGACACACAACACACAAAATCACACAAAACAAGCGTCACACACACACACACATCTGAACGCAGGATACGCCCTGTCCATGGGACGCCCGCGGCTCCTCCGCGCGCTGCCGGTGCCACGCTGTCCACCCTGGCCGGCACCGGAACCGTGCTGCTGGCGCTGGGCGCGGCGTCCAGGCAATCCGCTTCCGCCTCTGAGAGGGTTGCAAAGCTCGAGATGGAAACCGTGCTGCGCTATCCAGGTGGCCCCTGTGAGGTACCTACCCAATGCCCTCAACCTGTTTGCCGCGCAAGAGTCAGGTCAATGCCGATACACTGATAGGTTGCCCCGTGAGAAATCCATTGCAAAAAAGGCTAGGCGGGGTATGTCAGTGTGGGGTGTGTAAGTCGAACCTTAGAAACGTGTTGCCCGTTTGTTTGTAAGGGCTCAACCTCGCGCCGAACCCTGGAGAAGGTGCTTGAATATCTATTTCCTCGCAAGGGTTTGCATCGTAGGACGAGCGTTGTGTATGTTTGGGGCATTTCTGACGGTGGGGGGATGTATTTGAGTTTGTTGGAAACCCCTTGTTGGCAAACAAAACAACTAAGAAACAACCATAGGCCTTGGCCGGTCCACTTGAGCCCGCGAGGGTTCGCTTCTAAACGCGCAGGATCACTTGCTCACGAGCTCATGAGATGTCACTTGCAAAGTTGATTGCGCGGGCACAAGATCAAGGCTTGGTGTCCTTGAGGTTGAGACACTGCACATGGCCCTCATTGCGATGGCGCCACTAGCCTTTGTTTGGCTCAATGATACGTTCATACGCCACAAACCGCCCCGAGAGCCCCCAGCCCCGCCGCGAGAGTTCAGGGTTCAGCTTTCCAGGAGGAAACAGGGCCCCGTGAAGGATTCAACCCTTTTCCCGCAAGCAAGCGCAGGCGACTCGCACAGTTTTTGTGCCCATTAGATGGCAATGGCCAGTTGCACAGGTCTAATATATATGTATATATTATGTATTATATATATATATATATGAACACATGGCCAGTTTGGACCTGTTGGGGGCTGACTTTCCAAAATTAAGCCGAAAGGGTAAATCAATCCAGCAAGGAAGGGTTGCATGTATTCAGCGTTTTGCCACGTTTCAGGCTCAGTGTCTCCGCGAGAGCAGACTCTGTGAAGCTCTTCTCGCCGGCGAAGGTGAATCTCTTCTTGAGGATCATCCGCAGAAGGCCGGACGGATATCATGATCTGGCGGCTTGGCCCAATTATCAGGGGACTCCCTGTAGAGGTTGCTTTGCTTTACTTTCCTCCCGAGAGACCCCCTTTTTGAAGGTTGGTTTCGTTTGCTTTTCCTTGCAACCCAAGTCCCCGTACAAGTCCCCAAAGTCGAGAATGGACTGGTTGGAAGGCTGGGCTGGACTTGGGGACTCGCCAGCCCATCGGTGCTCTCCAGACCCCCGCTTTCTTGTCGCCTGAGGGTTTGACTTGACAACAAGTTTGGAGTCTCCAAGGAATGCACCCAGAAGATCCTATGAGTTTGGGCTGAGCCCATTTGTTGCCGACTCCAAGGGGATATCTCAAGTAAACCTGGGTAAGAGTTTCTTCGAAGTGCAGCTAACTCAAAGCCTGGTGGAAGCCTCCGAACGTCTTTGGCCAACCCCCAGGCCAATGACACGGAAGCCTCGATTCGCTGAGGCATCGCTTTTCCAGACGGTTGCCTTTGGAGACACCCTGGAAATTGAGGCCGTGCGCATGGTCTTGGCACTTCCTTCCTTGTTACCCCTTGGCTCCCTTGTTACCAGCCTACTTTGTAATGGACATGATATGCTACGTATTTTAGCATATAATTTTATGCAGCCCAATGTATGTATAATATATAATTGATAGTACATAATTTCATAGCCTTTGCGGGAGAGGGTATGAGCAATGCCGAAGCACCTTGACGTTCGTGGTCTCGGAGTGGCGCCAGCGACAGAAGCCTCGCGGGTTGGGTATTGTGGTACCCTTCCACGTACCTACAAAGCGTGCTTGGACCCAGGGGAGATAGCAACTGGAACTCTTTACACAATTTTCTGGCACCCCTTTGGATTCAAACAATTGATTTTCTGTGCCACGTGTCAAGCCCTTCCAGATGGCTAGTTTCATTGGGTCCCGTCGCAAGGAACAGAGGGGCTCTTTTGACACAAACTCATGTGCGTGCTTCAAACAATGGGGAGGCGCCTCAATTTGCCTGTTGGGGTCCAAGTGCGATCTCGGAGGCGTTGCCAGAGGGTGCCGAGAAGGACGAGTTGGAGTGCAACCTGCCTGGGGTGCCGGGAGCCGAGCATACCTTTCCTGCATGCCCTTTGATCTATGGCTAAAAGTAGTCAGGGCTTGTGTTTCTTGGACCTCCGAACATGCCCGGTGTTGAAATCGGCCAGATGTTAAAGTCTCTTGCCCTCTCTTAACAGGGAAGCAATGGGTGTGTCATTTTAGGAGGTACCCTGGAAGCCCACTAGAAACCACACATTTGGGGAGTCGCCTATTTTGAGACACACTCACACGATGTGCCAGCATAGCTGTGTGCTAAAGTGGCTGTTGGCTTTCTTGACAGCGGGGAGCTCTCACGCAGAAGCAGTGTTTTTTCAAATTAAGCACGCCCATACATTAATTTTGATTCAAGTGCATCATGCTATGCATCAATGGATGTCTGCTTTTGCAGTTTGGGCGGCCGGTTTTGTCACGTCATTCATGGCAACCACAATGGTGGCTTGGAAGTCAATGGGCAACACCCTCTAATTGCTAAACATGGCCGGTGAGCATACATCCTAACGTAAGTGATGTTCACCAAAGGCCTCTCAATCACATATCATACCCAGGTTCTGTCAGAATGACCAGCAGTCACGATTTTTGATTGGGAGGGACATTGGGGGGCGGGGGGGACGAGCTCTCTCTTTTTTTTCCCTCTACAAAACCCAAACTCACAAAATATGTCTCAATAAAAAGTATGTTCCCGCATTATTGGGGCACTTCCCTTGTTTCGTGTCCTTTTTCTTGCAGGGGTGTCTGCTTTCAAAACCAACAACACGAGTACCGAGGCCGGTGGACGACTCCAACCTCGTGATCCGAGCGCTGAAGTGCGCTCGCCGTCCGCGGAAATCGGATTTTCCCGGTGCGGTTCACCCAACGCGAGGGCCTGGCAAAAGGGGAAAGTGGACCATTCTTGTTTCTGTAGGCCGGGGGAAGGATAGTTTCTTGTGTCGTTTCTTGTATATTTCGGTTCGGTTAATCTGTGGGGGATTGTATAGAAGGAGTGGTCGAGCCCCCAATCAAGCACCTGTCCTTTGGTGCAAGGGAAGTGTGTGGAGGGGAGGGGAGGCTCCTAGGTTTTGGTTGGTGATACCAAAAATAGAAAGGATTTCACCAACTCACTCGACTTGGCATCCTAAGGGAGGACCCCAAGTTTCAAAATGGAAATGTTGACACAACATCTGCTTGCATGGGCTAAGTCAGGCTTGCATCCCCCCGCGCAATTGTGGGACTTACAAAGATAATTTACACTAGGCCCCTTATATGCCCCATGGCCCCCATAGCCCAAGAAAGGTATCGTAAGAAGCCATTTGATAGCCGTTGGGTGTGGTCTTGGTTTCCATCCGGCATCGGACGGCCTCCAAGAATTCAGCCTTCGTACTTTGTGTGTCAGCCATATTCAGTCTTGGAGGCTCTTCCGGAAGAAGAGCGGCTTTCGCACCTTCTTCAGGGTGAACTTGGAAAAGGAAATTCCCGCGCAGGCGCATTCGGGTTAGCCAACGTGCAGGTTTTGCGCTTTGACTGCCTTGTTTTAAGGGTCTGAAGGGTGTACCTTTGCTTTTTAACCAGGGAAAGTCAAAAAGCAAACCCTGGAGCAGTAGTGCAACTCATGATCACTTCTTTCATGGTCAAGCTTGCCCTGCGTGCTGGTTTGTCCAGGCTGGAATGGGTGGTGGAAGCAGCAACTCAGCTGTGTGGTGAGGGACACAGGGTTGCTCGGCCTCTAAAGGATCACAAAATTACAAGGTAGAAAGTTGGTCATTGGTCAGGCAATTAATTTGACCGCTGGGACATTGTTGATTGTAGTTTCCCTGTGGTTTCCAAGGAAGCAACCAACGGAAATCGGGTGCCCTCGAAAGCGACACGCTCATATCCTTCAAGGCCTAATCCTCGCACGGCGCGGCGTCCTTTTCCGTTGCTTGCCTTTCGGGTGCCTTTGGTGCGAAGCGAATTGGTGTTTTAAACAGACCTCACAATTCCCGCCCGAAAGTGTCCAACCGATTCGCGCTAAGGCAACGCAGCCACAGCCTTCTTTGGTCTCTACCTCAGTTGCGGATTCGAACTGGCTAACAGCGCGGCGAGAAGCAGATCCTACCCCTTATGGGCGGTTTGCATTGGTGGTAGAATGGTGAGGTGCAATGTTTTAAACACCTGAACAACATACATTTTCTTGTTTTGCCGGTTAGGATACCTGGCTACCTTCCCCATTTGCTTGAGGCCAGTCTGCCATTCGGGCCTTCAGGTGCCAACCTGCTCTGCGGCATGAAGGCCTCGCCTGAGGACTGCGGACCTCCCATTCTCGGGAGGCATTTTTGGATGTGCGTTTCAATGGCGACCCCCCCCCCCAACAAAGAAGAAAGAAAAAAGAGACAAACACGTGGGTGGAGAGGGAGATTTGCCCCGGGATTTTCCGTTTGCAATCCATCTTCCAAGACCTTTGGAGGGCGCGGAGGTGTTTCCCATCTCATATCACCGGCATGTTGCCCGGGGGGGCGAGGTTTCTTGATCGATGGAGAAGTGCTTCGCTCGGCCCGATGCAGGACTTGATCAGTTGGGCTGACGATCCAGTCATTGGCTCCGCTGCCGCCTCAGCAACCTGGAACAGCCAGGTTTGTGTGGAACGGCATTCTCTCTTTCTCTCTATCCCTCTCTCTCTCTCTCTCTCTCCTTTTCTCTTCTTATTATTCTTCTTCTTTCTCTGTGTTTTGCTTCTGTGTTTGTCTCTTGTTATTTATCGTTCTTTGCTTTGTCGTTATCTTTATCTTTCATTGCTTTTTCGTCCTCTGGTGTATCTCTATTTGCGTTTCGTTCTATTTTCCATCTATCTATCTATCTATCTAACTAACCTATCTATCTATCCATCTATCTATCTATCTATCTAGCTATCTATCTAAATCTGCCTGTCGTGACTGCGACTGCCGTAAATTCCGCAGCTGACCTTGAGTTGTGCTTTACACGGCGCCCAGGATGCGACCTTCTTCCTCTCCGAAGGTTGGACACTGGGCATTTCTTGGCGCTGTGCACAGACCACCTCGTGAAACATGAAGCTTCGGAGGATTTGTGTGTTTGAGGTTAGCATGATGTGCCCAGCTGGTTTGGTTTGTGGTAGACAGTTGGGAGGCTTGTTGTTTGCTTCGAGTAAATTCAGGCGAGATGCAAAGAGCAGCGGCTTCGCTACTGATGTGATGTGAGGCACTGCATACTGCACGGGAAGAGGTGAGATCGTGACGCAGTCCTGGCCAGATTGCACAAACACTCTCCAGGGGTGATTGTATATGCCTTTTTTGGTGATTTGACATCATCCGCTGGTTGCGCGATTGTCACCGGACTGGCTTGTGCAATGGCAGGCCGATAGACGGGCTGCCTATCAAGGATGGGCTCAGCGTGTTCCTGGCTTCGGCCTCAAAAAGCCTTGCCATTTGCCTCTTGGAAGGCCGTAAGCTCTTGCCTTCGCAAGAAGCCCATGACCGATTTTGAGGTGGGTCCAAATGGGTAGCCGTGAAATTCTGACAAACACCGCGGTGTATGCGTTTTGCTTGCGCATGAGGTCAAGCCGAACTACGGACTGTCCACCGGCAAAGTCTTCAAGGCCGGGCAATGCGGGAAACAAAGGGACAGTCCTAATTAGATGGTTTGAAGGAGTGCCCATGAAGCATACGACCTCTTGTTTAAAGCAAAGTCCTAAAATGAAGTTGCTTTAGATTGCTTTGGATTATATTGGTATTGAATTTCAAAAACTAGTTTCCTTAAAACCCAACCCTCGATTCTCCATGTTTCCCATTTGGGATTTGACCATGTTTGGGTCTACGCTGAATGTGGGTGTTCTAGTAGGTTCAGTAGGGTCCCGAAACGTCAACCCCTGACAAGCTCAGATGTGGGTGTGGGTCAAAATTAAACCACCAGGGAACTCCAGGTTTTAGTTCCATGTTTCCATTTACCAGGGTTCCATGTTGGTGCCACTTTTTTGAGCCACAGCCCTGGCTGTCTCCCCGAGTCTTTTGTCTCCAAGCTCTCCAGGCCATGGACCTTGAGGCGTTGAGCAAAGTGGACCCGGAGGCCTTCGGCTGACAAGTCGTCGGAGTTTGATTGGCGCTTGGGGGTGGATGCGTGTTTATGACATACATGATTAATGGGTTTGCTGTGTGTAGGTTTCCCGGCTGTGCACGATCAATTTAGCCTGTTTGATTGACAACGGGCATTTTTGGTGATTGGAAAGCATTCCGGACCTTGATGTCCCATGCCCCCTTCCTGGGCAAAGGAATATTGAATCCTTCTGATCGACCCATGTTGACCCGAACAAGGCCTCATGCGGCCTTGGATGAAACCTGGGGCGCCGAATCCTCTGATCTTTGGTTTCAATGGCAGGAGCTGCTGAAGGCCTTCAAAGAAAAGGCGCATGCCAGCGGATCCGGGAGGGTGTGCGAAAATTGGGAACCTGCTTCGGGGATAGGAACCCAGCCAGGCACTGGGACTGGATCTGGAAGAATGCATGAGACTGACTGGCCAGCGAGGTTGAGATGGGTGTGTCTTTGGTTGGGAACCCCTTGTTGGTTGGTTTTAAAGGGAAACCAAAAGGAAAGCCACTTTTTTTGGAGGGGGGGGTGTCCCCTCATGTTGCCTGGAGAACTTCAGGACTGAGAGAACTTGTGACTTGATGTCTTCACAGTCCCCTTTCGGCAAATCCGATTCCGGGACGTAGCATGTTCAGCAAAAGTCCCAAATGGGCGTGTCCTTTTTGTTTTTGGGGGCATGTAGTTTTATCATAGCATGTTTCCATGCCACGGCCAATGCGCCGTTTGGCTCAAGCTTTTCACCGCGTCGGACTCCGCCGCCATAACGGCATCGGCTGCCTGCGGCGCCGCTACCCATCTCGGTCTTGCAAAAGGTCGGGCTGGGGTTCGCGGCGGTAGGCACGTTCTTTGGTTGTGGGTCGGTTGTGTGTCTGGTGGTGTGCACCTTGTTGCTGCTGCTCCGCTTTCGCTTGGTTAATTGCTTTGCTCGCTCGCTTGCTGCGCTCGCCTGGTTGGCTGCGCTGGTCCCCTTTCCTGTTTGGGTTTTGCGGTTAAACAGGATTCCCCGTTTGTTATCTGAGTGGTTCATTGCCAGCCGAGGGCACCACTTTGCCCTTGGGACTGGGGGGCTTAAACTGTCTCTTCTTGTTGGTGGGTTAGGGCCTGTTTATTCTCTCCCGAAATATTGTTTCAAACCCTTTCGCAGGTTATCAGCCGTAGGATTCGTCCTCGGTTGGCACCGCGAACCCCTTTTAATAACAACCCTGCAGGTACCGTAGGTCTCTGTAGGCGTCATGTCGGGAATCACTGAGGACGGACCTCATGTGGTGACTGACGAATGGGTTCTCGGCCAGGCCGGAATCTTGGACGTTGTGAATGACGACCAAGTGCCCGGACAGCCGATGTTTTCCGGTCCTGACTTTTTGTCGGACCACTCTTTTTCAGAAGCAATGCCTTCAGGAAGATCCAGTGCTACTCGCACTGATGAGCTATCGTCTAATGCCTCAAGAGCTAATCGCTCTCAGGGTCATGGGGCTAATCGTCCTGACCATGATGATTCCGTCTCAGGACGTGATGATGACGAGCCCGGTATTGCACCTGGAGCTCAATCCTCATCTTTCCCGGAGCTGATGAATATTGGTCAGTCCGAGTTTCGTGACTCTCAAAGTAGCAGTAGACCTGTGCCAACCAGTAGTATAGTTTTTCAAGCGCTCGGTAATCCCGAACCTGGTACATCCAGTGGAGTTGCATTTGATGTTCATCTGCCGACCGAATCCGGTGGGCTCGATTGGAGAGCCTCATGGCCCAACGACGGAAATATTTTTGGTATGGATTTTGCCGCATGGATGCCAGGGCCACCCGCCCCGTCATCTTTCCCGCAATTCCAAAGCCCAAAACGGGCTGCTGGAAGCGATGAATTCATGCTACCGTTGTCGATTGAGAATCTCAATCCTGACGTGGCCAGCCGTAACGTCAGGCCAAGGCCGTCGGTAAACCCGACCATGAGGAACATGTCCCCTCCCCCAGGACTTTCAGGATTTGAGAGCCCTAGGGAGCGTAATATCGTAGATAGATTGGATTTGCATCCCAGTCCGACCCCGAGCAAACGATCAAGGTCAAATTCGACTGGATCGCATAGGGCAAGGGGGATGGATCGGGAAACCGCCCACAGGGGTAACCCCAGTGCGCGGGACTCAGGACGCGGTCGATCAGGTGATCCAGCGTCAATCATTGGTAGAGATCCGCTAAACGCGGACACACTCGTTAACGTGCTTGATGGAATCGAGGCATTCCAGGAGGAATTTAATAGGTCAAGTGGCATGAACGCACAAGGTGTTCGCCCTACGCCCAACGCGGCTTCCATTTTCGCCCTAGACGACATGGACGGAGCTAATGTTCCGATAGAATCTGAATCCATGATGGCATCAAGTTCTAGTCGCAATCATACCATCAGTAATGCGACTGATATTGAATCGATGTCTGAGTCTAGAGTGTCCATGCGACCGACTTGAATGACATTGTTATTGCTGACTCGAGACCTGATGTTCCTATGCGAATGGATAGGCCTGTTGTTCCTAAACTGCCCGTGGCCAAAGGCCTGGGCATGACACAACCCTCTGCGGTTCGTGATGCTAGGAGATCTGCTCCGTATCAGAGTCAATCTCCTAATCGGAGTGAGTTCCCACGACCATCAACGGCCGTGCAGGATGATTTCAGAACTCCTCCGAGATCTAATCCAATCATGGTTGATTTGTCCACTCCTCGAGATCGCGGATCAGGATTTGGTCCTACGAATGAGGAGCAACCCAACGAGGTTGCTGATCTTGTAACAGCCCTTGAAAGAGGGAGAGTGGACTCTTCGGTAAGTGCGATTATTCATCGCCTGGTTGCTAAGGTCGAAGACCTTGGTCGTAGGAATGATAGAAGTGATCAATGCATCAAGCAGCTCTCCACTGAGGTTAGCTCGTGGAGGGCCAAATACGACCAATGCGTCCATATGAGTGGCACGTGTACGCAGGCTGCGAACGCGGCCATGCAGCTATCACAGGGGACTAAGGACATCGTGACCGAGCTTGGCCAACGCGTCAAGATCGTTGCCGATCGCATGATAAGCATAGGCGATGCCCTAAACGAGCGAGCCAGCTACGATGATGTTGCTCGCTCCATCACCCAGGTTCAAACTGTTTTAGAATCTCTTTCTGATCGAGTAACCGGGCTTATAGCTCGTGTTGATATGATCGAGAGATCTCTAGTGGAGAGCCAATCCAACCATCCTGCTATTGGTGGAGTAAACCTCAAAATCGAGGACCTGTCCACTAGAGTATGTCAGATTGATAGGATGATGCAAGATGTCGAACAACGCTGGACCAATAATAGGGACGGCATAAAGTGGGTTAAAGACCAACTTTATGAGACACAAGCCAACCTTGAGATGAAGTCAAGGGACTGCAAATCCTACACGGACAAGCAAAATACTCATAACATGGCCGTTTCGACTACGCTCAACAGCAAGCTCGAGCAAATGCTCGAGGTGCTGGGTAATACGGCCCAGAGAATTAACTCCCTCGAGTCAAGGCACTCGAACCAGGCCTCAAGTAGTGGATTGAACGATCACACAGGAGGAAGGCGAGCCGCGTCCCGTACTCCGGATAAGCGGCCACCTCCACCTGGCCCTCCTGATGGTGATCCTCCACCACCTCCTCCTCCAGATTGGCAAAGCCCAGGAGGAGGGGGGAAGAAGAGTGCTGCCGGTGGGAACCCTGGCAGCCCTGTAAACCCAGGTGTAAATATGTAGGTGATGGGTATAATCATCTCGTGGCTGAGTTTCACTGCAAGGGATGCAGAGGTAATATTTGTGAGTATTGTTTCTCATTTAAAGAGAACCTGTGTGAAGAATGTTCCCGTAACGGACCCCGATGCGGAGTCTGTAGGGAGAGCTCGTTCCTGACCAAGGGAATTGAGTGTCAATTTTGTAAGACCTACTACTGCACTAGACATTCTGCTGGGCAGGATGACTACAGGAGATTTGGATTTGTCCAGGGTCCCTGTTGTCTTGCGTGCCTTAGGGACGAGACTAGGAGAAGAAGGGATCCCGATGGTAACCGTGTCAGGAATAGGTCGCCTGGAGGCATACCTGAGACGAACCCGACACGGTCGTTCTCGCCGCCTCTGCGGCCACCCGTTGACAGATTCCGTGACACCCCAACTGGGGCTCAGCCCGGTGCGGCTAACATTCAGAGTCCCCCGAAGGCTACGCACCCCGTGCCCCTGGATAAACGTGAAACCGGATATTATCCAGGATTTGATCCCAACGGTGCAAGGCCGAAGGATCCTTCAGGCCTTGAGCCGCCGACCATGCGTGGCCCCGATCCTCCTGACAAGAAATGTCGGATGTGTGATAGTGATCGGGATATTCCTGATCCCAGTAAAATTGAGGAATGTAAGATATGCATGAAAAGGGCATGTGAGATTTGTATTCCGAAGGCTACACGCCTTTGTCCTGTGTGTGCATTGTCAATCGGTAGTTCTCAGGTTCCACAGCATCTCTTCGGAACTGGTGGCGGCGGATACAGTAGCCACCATGATCCGAACTGTACAGCTGCGACTAAGTGCATTTCCATAGACCTCCCGCCAGAGCCCGACGCGGCTGGGCTGAGGGTATGGATAGCCAATATGAAGGAAGCTGTTAGCAATGCCTACAGCTATGATGGACTTTACGTCATCAATTGGCTAACAGAAGTCGAGAAGGCAAAGACCTTTGATGAACTGGATGGAGAATGTAAATACCACATCCTTGAAGCCAGGTTCAATGCAGCCATTCGGAAGTGCATCAAGACTGTTGCGATCATCGATAAGATTAATCGTCTCACCGAAGCCGCTCAACGCTCCAACAATCGCATCAAGAGTAGGCAGATCCTGTGGCTCTTATACGACCACTTAAGGACTGCAAATATCGGAGAGCAATCGTTCAGGATAATTGAGCTCTCAAACTTACGATGCAGTACATCATCTTTCTATACTGAAGAGGAGCGACTTGAAAGGTTCATCGCGAAGTGGGATCACATCCTTGCGGGTCTCGATGAACCGCTGACCGAACAGGTAAAGCGGTCGCTATTCAGTGAGAAGGTTAGACACCTCAACTGTTTGGCTCATGATATCAGGGAATGGGATAGGAACATATCCAACCCTGATGTTTGTAGCTATGAATGGCTTCGTGCTCGTTGCAAGAACGAGATTGACCGTTGGAGGGTTCGTAAGAATCAGGTCAATATGCACAAAGACTTTTACGAGCGATCTCAGTCCAGGGACAGAGCCCAGAAACCTGGTGCTCCTGGTCCTCCCGTTCGGAGACGATCTCCGTTTGGAGATTCCCATAGGCCT